GTGTGTTTGACTTCTCTGCGGACCCTCAGGGATGAGGGCCGGGGTGTTGAGAGGGAGCGAGGAAAAGAGGAAGAGGTTTTCTCCAAGACCGCGGTAATAAAGCACTAGTCACCGCTCCTGGAATAAATATGATAAAAATCAAGTGCTTAGGTTAAAGTTGATCAAAATTGTTCAAGCGTGACCAATGAGGTAAAATCCTGGATAATGACTGGGCTCCCTGACAATCCCCTTCTCCCCCTCGCCCACTCGTGCTCGCAGCTCTGCACAGACCCTCAGCTCCTGTCTCCCACGTAACCCCTTGCTCAAAACTTTCTTGCAGATGATCCAAGCAATACAAGTACTAAGGTTTCACCTTTTGGAATTAGAAAAGGTAAGAGCCACGGAGGTGGGCGGAGGGCAAGCCATTCCCTCCCTGTCGTGTCGCCCTCCCCTCCCCTCGACTATTTGGGATGACTTGTAAACACGGCCAGAGGAGACAGAGGAAACGCAGTGTGATTCCGTAACCTGTGCCATCAGAGCATGTGATACCCGACAGCCATGCCCAGCCAAGACCAGCCCGGCACCATTAATATTTTTTTCAGCGTAATTTCAACCAAGTCATTAAATGTATATATTATTAAACCCTTTCCACCCTCCTTACCCCTTCCCTCAGCAGAAGCTCTTTTCCTGACTCAGAGATAATATGTTTAACAAAAAGAGGAATGAAAGCACTCCTGCCTTTCTCCAGCTCTGGCAGGCATATTAACCCCTAGCAAGCACTAAATGTTTGGAAGAGGCAGGGGGCCCCTGCGCTGCGTGGGGAGGGGGCTGTGCCCTGAGACGAGAACGGCTCTTCCCACAGCCCAGAGAGTAGCTTCCTCTCACTACTCCCGGGCCAGACTTTTTTTTAGCCCCAGTTTAAACCGACCCCGTCCCGAGTGACTTGTTGTACCTGTCTGGGCTGTGTACACTCCAGAGATACCGCCTGGGTCCAGCTCCCCGTGTTCTGATGTTATCATCAGATTGGGTTTTCCTCTGCACACCAAACTGAGCCCACTGTCTCTCTCTCTCTCTCTCTAACTTGTTGCTGTGGCAAGTCTCTAGAGAATAATATGTGCTGCAACAATTTCTCTATTGTTTCCTTGCCTTTAACTATTGTGCCCCTTAATTAGAGTTACTCGTGGAGTAGATCAGAGGGTTGTTCTTGCTACCAAAAAAAAAAAAAGTCGCAATCCGATATTTTGCCAGTATTTATACTATTATTCTTGTCATTGTTTTCAGGTTCATGAATTGTGCGATAATTTCTGCCACCGGTACATTAGTTGTTTGAAAGGAAAAATGCCAATAGACCTCGTTATTGATGAAAGGGATGGCAGTTCTAAATCAGACCACGAAGAACTCTCAGGATCTTCCACAAATTTAGCCGACCATGTAAGTCCTTATTTCTTTATGACACTTTTTAAGGCTTTAACCTGCTTAGGAGGATCTGTCCCCGATTTCATTTGCTGCTGTTGTCTATTAGTATTATTGTTATTACCCCTTTAACTTCCTGCAAGCTCGGATCCCATCTTTACACTTTCTTCCCTCTCGCTTTGTAAAGTTGTAGGAACGCAAAAGGTTCCTTCTGTTTCCATCTGCAAAGCAGCGAGTTTGCAATGGTTTGTAAAGTTTTCTGGTCTGGGCGGCTTGGAAAGCTAGCAAACTGTCGGTTTGATGTGGGGATCGTTGCTTTCTCTGCTGCTTTGCCAACTCTGTAATCAACGCAGCGATGTAAGGAAACAGAGACAAGAAAGTTTGGGAGAAAGTTTGCTGATTTGCTCCCCCTTCTCTTCTCGTGGGGATGACAAGTGATGAGAATTATTGGCAATACTATATCGCATTAAAAAAAAAGGGTTAGCACATTAGAGTTTCCAATGCTTGTGCTTTATAGCAACTTATTGTCAGAATATGGACTTATTGCCAAACGCCTGAAGCATCTTCATAATAAAAGACAGTAACCTTGATGAAGCAATTATTAACAATGTATTACAGAAAGCTGGAGAGAATGATGATTGAGTAACCGTAGGTTAGTGGCTGATTTTAACACTTAGGAGTTGGTGAATTAGTGTTATGTGTGTAGGACTGAACATTGGTGTGCGTGGTGAGAAGAGTGCCTTTGTTTTTCCGGGTTTTGGAGAGGCTCTTGTGATCTTTCAAAAGATGTAGACGCGGAGAGACTTCGGGATGTGAGGGGAAGAATTGCAGCTGGTACCGCAGCCCAGGGAAGGAATCGCTCTGGTTAAAAAGAGTGGGTGTGAACTCTAGGTTATTTATAGGAACGCATCCCCGGGGGGGAGAGGGGTTCACACAGTTTTAGATTCAAATGAACTCATAATCTAAATGATACAGTCTAATATTTTAGTGGTTGAAATATTAATTTAACACCCGGTGTGAAGTTAACCATGCTTTCTGCACAGGCGCCTGCCTTCATTTCCCAGAGCGTTAAGAAGAGTAGCTGCGAGCCTAGGGAGAGTGAGCTTTCTAGGAGCTTTTGTTTCCTTTGAAAACATGTTGTTTGTCTGTGTATTTGATAATTACATTAGACCTGAACTGAAGTTAAATTGAGAGATAAAATAATGATAAATTCTTCTAAATGCCCCCCTTCTGGCACGGCTTAGTCCCATAGCCTAAGAAATAGTTTTTGGAACCAAGTCTTAGCTTTCATTTTCTCATTTGTAATCGGTAAACAATGCAGGACAAGGTTTTTGAGATGTTTTACATTTTAAAGCTATCCTTTTGAGAGAAAAAAATGTACACAGAGGTTCTTGAAAGTTTCTCTCATCAGCTATCTCTCACATAGATAATAAACTCTATGAGGCATGACATTATTTCAAAAATATTTGGTTTATGGCATTTTACAACCCTAAATTCACGTACATAAGAATTCTGGGAGACTACTAGAAAAGAAATTGAAATGAGTGGCAACCTGAAAGATATGAGGTCATTGTGTATAATTCAGAGTAACAGGGAAAAAAAAAGTACATGTTTCTCCAGTATAGTCTCTTTACAAGAGTGTGTTTCAAGTGGAAGTGTAGAAATGGAGCATGCTTATGTTTATATTGAAGAGATTAGATAAACTAGGCTGTTTAGGGTTCTGGCAGATGGCGAATGCTCAAGCCAATTTGCAGTGCTCCATTATAATATTTAAATTCACACACAATGATAGGACAGAGGTGGAGGGGGTTAGCATTCTGATAATTTGATAACTATTATCTTCCCTGAGAAGAATCTCCTCTTGCTTTTGTGGCCCAAAAAACAAACTCAAATAAATATGACAACCCATTTATCTTGCACCCTTTAGGGTTTACCACTTCATTGGGTATTATAATTTAAAGCCTTTTATTTCCTGGAGATTTGAGCTATAACATTTTTACTTTAGCCCCCTGCTATTTGTTTTGAAAGGAAGCAATAATTTGTGCAACCAGAACACCAACTGGGAAATGAAGAGTTGTATCACATAGTTACATTTTATTCATGCGTTTTGGGAAATGTGTCTCCTTATTGGATTTTTTTTATATTAGCTTTTTTCCCAACAAAACTTTAACAGTCTTTTATGGCTTAGTCAAACCACCGTGTGCACACACATTTATATTTACACTGTACAAGGTTCCAGCAGGAAAAAAATCCGCTTTTATTCATAAAAAAGGAAAAGCTTTAAAAAATAGCTAATATAAACACGCAAGACTATAAAAAAACAAGCTATCATTTGTGAGCATCTACCTGAAAATGTAGTAGCTCAAGCATGCAAATTTGTCCAATTTGATTCTCCAGGTTTATTTTTTCATTTGCTTTGATATGCATATTTAATATATAGCCTCAGGCTAGATCTCATTTGGTGAAAGTTGGTGCAGGGGTGATGATGAGCCACTTCAGAAGGACAGAGACAGCATGTTGTTTCCTCTATTTTATGTATTGGCCCACTGTTCTGATCCATGAGTCTTCCCCTCATGGTTTTATTTGCACATGAAATACTAGGAGCATTTCAACTGATTGACTATGAATAATGATAGCCAAAAAATAAGTGTAGTTTAATTTGTTGTGTGCCAAGGTTTCTCTTGTGGAGGTGACAGTTTGTGACAGCTGTTTGACACCCCAAAAATCCATACACCTCTATTCTTATTAAGTGGTATAAAGCTACACTATGTGCACTTAATGTGAATGCGAGGGTTGGTGGCAGTGACAGTGGCAGTGCTGATCTAGAGTCTAAGGGAGCTCTCCGTTTTATTCCCTTGCTAGACCTGAAAACAGGCATGAGGGAAAGTAACAGAAGGAATCGGAGGATTAGCCAATATTTGCCTTAAGACTTTAAATGGGGTACTCAAATAGCGCATGCTTCCCTTTTCAAAATCTACTGCCCCACTATTTATATAACTTAATTGGAAACCAAAAACAAAATCAACAAAGGAATGAACTCTTCAGAGATATACCTGTGCTGGAAAAAGGAGACAGCTGCAAGCGATTGTGCTATATGTGTTTGGTAATAAATGTGTTTATCGAATTTTATTCTAGAGAGCTATTAACTGTTATGTAATACAGTAAGTGTAAAGGGTCCAGGGACTTGGTAGATCAAATAGTGCAGCGCTGGCCACAAGGAGCTGAAACTTTTGTTATTACACTGCTGTGTTTAGTAAATATAACAGCCCATAATTAGCGTTTGAATTTTTAACACCCTCATACTTTTTTACTGCTCTGAGGTATTAGCTGTGGATGGGAAGAAGGTAATTACAGCTATGCCCTGGCTGAACCAGATCAGTCAGGAGAAAAAAAAAAAAAAGGAGGTAAGAAACCTTTCCAGCTGCAGTTCAACTTCAGTTTCTCAGCACAGACAATTTATTATTGTTCAGTATAAACATTCTGAGCCCTATCCTGCATTCTGTGTTGGGCCTAAAATATCTGTTGAGATTGCCAACAAATCTTCCCCCCCTCCCCATCCTCCTTCAAGCTATCTAAATCTGAAAAGCATGATGCTTGTAAAATTTGGAGATTTTAAAACTTTTTCAAGCATATTATAACATTTTGTACTTAATTACATTTCTTTTGTACCTTGCTTCAGCTGGTGCCACACAATTCTTCCTTCTGCACAAACCTACTTTGAAACCTAATAATTCTCCCGTAGAAATTTATGGCTTGTATTCTGCTGACTTTAGTGTGAGCAGGATCGGGGCCTCCATCTTTTTGATATTTGTTTATATGTTGTAGTCAATTTGCAGCTGAGAGGTAATAATATACAGATCATCATTTTAAAGATATAACTAAAAATTGGTAGAGATACACATATACATCTTTTTTCTAAAAGAACAGTTGACAGATTAGAAATCTGATGCCTTAGCTGTAGAGAAGTATTGGTCTGAATATTAAACCTTTCAGCTCTCAGACAAGGAGATACTTTTATTTTGCACTTTTGGACATCTAGACATTCTACATTTTGTTAATGTTTCTTCTCCAAGAATGGTCTGTGCAGATTTCTGACATATTGCAGATGAGAAAAAAAAAATAAGGTAATATGTATCTGCTCCAGTTAGATAATTAAACCTTTAGGTAAGATTTCACTGAGTAATGAGGAAGTAACTGAGGGCCTGATGCTGCAAACTCCACGTATGTCACACTTAGAAGGACTTCGAGTAGGCCAGAAAAGCAGGATCAGACCCTAAAGATGCCATTACTGTTTGTAGTGTCAGAAGGGAAACTCAGTAGCTAACTGCAACAGTAACAACTACCTACAACAGTTTTTTCTTTAATAATCTAATTTCTTAGTAGGTGGTTTAAGACTAAGGACATTACGGTAGGCCTTGTGCTTTCTGAAGGGGCAAGGAGCGTCAGGAACTTTCCGAGACTGTAGACGATGTTGTGTATTTCCTCTTTTTGATGGCCCAAGGTACTCTGCAGTCAAAGCTCAAATTGGAGTGTTTTAATTTTAAACTGGGGTCTCTCAAACTGAACTGATAAAGCATTTCACTTTCTGTTTGGTCTTGGTGTTCTCTCTTTGGTTTGAGTTGTCTATCACTCTAGATCAAGTGTAGCCACACAGAATGACATAGAAAGACAATTAAAAAAACAACAAACTCCCGATTTTTCAAGTTCATTTCCTTGCTGACAGGTGGATTACGTCTGATTTCAATCTTAATTGGAAAATACAAAGCACGCAGCTTTTCAGAGCGTTACCACACATGAGTGTCAAAAGTCCCTCCTGATGCTTTACTAAAATGCAAAATCAAGGGATAAGAATTACAACTTGTACATATATATACATACATACACAAATATTTGATAGATCATAATGCCTTGTATTTTGTTTAAATTGTGTAATTCTGGTACAAAAAGTTATTAAATTAAATATGCACCTGAAAGAAAATAAACCTTAGTAATATCAAGAGTAGGCTTTATTAGAAAAC